AAAAATGAAACCGTCTGTGGCTTAGTGTGGCTAGTGTCTGTGCCTGTGGCTAGCTTGGTGTTAACCCGCGACCGCCTGGGGGGGGGGTCGGATCCGACCCCCCCCCCCTCCGTTTTTCTTGAATAACTCATGAACCACTTTCGCTATCTACTTGAAACTTGGTATACCTTCTCCCCCATCAATTTGACGTCTCCTGTGCGATTTGTAAGAAAAAATTTCAAAAAAATTTGAGATATATCGATTTTAGTGATGTAACTACATGGCGTTTTTAGTCAAAAAGGGGTAAATGTTTAAAAAATCGCCAAAAATCAGGGTTTAAAGCAAATTGCAAATTAAGGACATTAAAAGACGCAGCTCAACGAGTTCTTTTAAATGGTTATCTCGGATTTTCCATAAAATGCGTTTTTCACCCCTAAAAATTCAAAAACTATATTTTTTGGAAAACAGCTAATAAAATCCAAAATTTTGGGAATTTCCAAAAAACCGGAGTACATGTTGTAGAACTCTATTAGAACATTAGATGTCCCAAATTTCAACTTTCTATCTTGATTTTTGACCCCCAAATTGTAAAAAATAGCTCCAACATGCATAGGACATGGTGACGTCATAAGCATTTTCGTGAATTAGAGGCACTTCTGAACATCGCATGTGAAAACAAATGGCACCACTAGATTCCTGGGACAAAGCTCGTCTAGAAAAGTGCATTTTTATGTCAAAAGTAAAAAAGTTGAAAAATTGACCTTTTTTCTCAGCCCTCGTATAGTATAAACGATTTTTATGCTTTCAATGCACACTTATCACTAGTACAGTGACTTGGGGTCACATATAACCATTACCATCGGATTAGGCGTGAAAAATAAGCCATAAAACATGTGTCGCACGCCCATGTAGCAGAAATTGAAAACCGTGACCTTTCGTGACCTGACCTGACCTTGACCCGTACTTAGTATGACCCCTATACACACATGGTACCTTCACTAGGCCTTTGAGGTCATTTTTGGTGAGTTTTGAGCAGCAGCTATCGATTCCGCTGTCCGTAAGCCTAATCATGCAAAACCCCTGAATTTGACCTTTGACCTGACCTTGACCCGAAAGTTGACCTCAATCTTAAAATCTTAAGAGTGCTTTGGGAAGGTCTCGTAGAGACCTTTCGAACGCCGCCTCGCGGGGCTCGATACGACCATTGGTTCTCGAGATAACAGGGGGGGGGTCGGATCCGACCCCCCCCCCCCCCAGGCTGTCGTGGGTACGGAAATAGCCCAGGCGGTGCCGGGTTAAGAAGGTGTTCTCTAACTGTGAATATGGAGAACCTACGTTGGCTAAGGCCAGGATCTACTACTGTGAAGAAAGTTGTCAATGGCTCAGTCATGGCTATGGTGAACGCGGTGACTGTGAGAACTGACTGACTGAAGAAAAGTCGGTGACTGTGAGAGAGGTGCCCTGTGACCACTGACTGTCAGTACTGTGATGCAGTCTTAACACGTGCAGTTTAGCGCGGAGTGTATGACTATCCCGCAATCATCACTGACTTGGCACGACCGTCTCCTACTCCACTGTTCATCTGTAAATCGCTCAATAATGGAAGCTTGCTGCGGCCGGGGGAAGCGACATATATCTTATGACCTTAGCGTTGAAAGCAACCTTTTTACAATGTGGCGTTGAGGCGATATCGTCCGTAGGTATAATCTTAGAGCTTGGCCTGCCTGTTTCGCTTGCGTTCCGTGCAAGGCCCGTCGCTAAAACTGCAATAGGAACGAGTCGGTGGCATGACACGGTACTGACAATACGGTTTACACCTAATCGCTGTTATTATGTGGTAAATATAGAGGAGAACGTCACTTAACGCAGTCACGGAAAATGATTGCGTGAACAAAAAAGCTCGTCTTTGTGACTTGCAGATTGTTTTGTGAAATGTGCACCCTTCTCCAATCGTATAAGAGCCGTTCCACTTGCGTGTTTTCACACGACAGGTGATCTATGTCAAAGTGGAGATACTTTGCGAGTGTGAACGACACAGTATTGAGCCGACGGCTGGCGTGAAAATGACTGGTTGCAGCGGGCTGTTACCGGGCCGTTCGAAAGAACGATATGCTAAAACTGCTTTGCCTTTTTCCGGTCTCAGAAATAGGAGACTGGCAGTGTTGGCGGAATGGCTTGTGATCGTCGACAGTCCAATGCAGAGGAAAATGGGGCCAACATCGGTAGTAACACCTAACGCCACGGTCAGTTGCCGCTAAATAACATGACTTCCGGCGGACCTATCACCAAGCTGATTGTTTTCCACGATAACCGACTTCATCAGAAAAACTTCACGAATGTTTCAAATATTCTTACAGAAGTTGATCGTGTCTTGCAGAAGGCATTCTTTATATAATGCACAGCTGGTACACGAAGTTAACATTTGGTGCAGTGCAATCATGAACCGTTTAGCGAGGAGCACAACAGATACTGACGTTAGTCCCCGGTATACCTATAACTCGCTGGTAGAACTCGGTATCAGATTAAGCAGTCTGATCACGTTTGTGAGCCGGTGGAACCCCTCGCTTTTTTCGCGAGTAATTTGCGTTAAGAGGGGTTGGAATACGACGAAAAACCTCAAGGCTCAAGCAACAATTTTATACCTACCTTAAAAATTGCACGACCCAACTCACATGGCCTTAGACCTGTGGTCTGTTTTTCGAGACCATATCAGGCTAGAATAGCGATTCGGTGTATGTATACAAGTCAGGGATGTTATCCACATATTACCATGTTGTTTTGTAGCTAGAAACGTGCGATGCGAAATGACGTTTGCCCCATCGATTATGGTGGGTGTCAAGGTCACGTAAAGGTTAAGTCAAGACTGTTGACGACCTCAGATGACCTCGGTCGACTCTTTTGATTTAACAAATTTTAGTGTGAGTTTTGAGGCTGATTTCGAATATAGCACCCATTTGAACACTTGATTATATATTAATTTAAGTGCTTATGAAACATTTTCATGGGCACCAAAAGGAATGATCGGATCGATCCCTTCCCACTATAAGTTAGCGGCTGTGAAAATACAAAAACGGGCGAGTGCTCTAACGCAAATCTTTCAGAAAGGGAGCACGGCTCCAAAGATGCTTGTATGTAGTGTACTATGTTGTATGCCTATCAATCGAACAGTCGGTGCGGGTAAAGATCTGTTGAATCGCAGGGACGTTTAATCTGTAGGTATTGAATGTTGGTAGTGACCAATATAGATTAAACGTCCCTACAAATATCCAGAAATAAATCAACGCAGTAGGAAGCCCTAACATTGACCTGACCTCGGACATAAACGTTCGACGCTCAGCAATGCTGCAGGCGGACTAATTGGCACCGACACAAAAGGCCTAATCTGGGATTATTCGTACGCATAAATAAGACAATAATGGAGCATAATTACCTGAACTTTTATTATTTAAATATCTAATGTTAAAATTAAGGAATGTGCAGCGGACGCCAGGGGCAAGTTCAAGCCGCTATCAGGTGTGCCATGAACAGGGTTAACGTGCTTGATGTTGAGCCTGTAGCCATACGATCCGAGCATTGAGCATTTGCATGGCAGGGCGATTTTTCTTCCCATCAGAATTTGCATAATACGATATCGTCTGTAATCAGCATGAAGGGCTGGGTCAACCTCACTGATGACCGGCATTTTCGCTGTGAGAACTGTGACCACTTTCGAAGGCGCCCAGGCTTCTGAGCCCACCTCGCTGAGGGCATCAGCGCCATCTGTGTTGCAGTAGTTGGTTTTACACCCACAAGGCTACGCCCGAAACAACTGTGACACAACAGATGGATTACACAAATGCTTTTAACGATCGAGGGCTGCTGGACGGTCAGGTGTGAGTATTCTGGTTATAGCGACTAAAATCGAAATCTGATAACATTACATCTTTTTGCGTCATCCATCCGCGCCAGGGCGGCCAACCGATCGTAAATCGTAATACTTCTAGGTGGGGTGGGGACCTTTTTACGCTCTTCTAGTTCGGCTCATATGTCACTTTGCAGCATCACCTTTCCATGCTTCTATCCTCAGGATACTGAAATCCTTCTCCTCCACGCCGCAACCCCCCTCCGGGCTGGACAGGCAACTTTATCTCATGCGGGCTGCTCCCTTGGAGCGGCACCGCTGCTCCTGAGGGAGCGCACCCCGTAGCCGGGTGCAGTGAGTGCCTTGGGGCTGGGTGGCCTGTCCTCTGGACGGGCTCAGCCCCGGCGACTCACTAGGGTGCCTGCCCAGACCAATGTCTCCCCCTAAATCCTATCATCCTTCCGGCTCTGCAATGGTCTTGTCGACCGAAAGGGCCTAACCCAACAAAACAAACAAACAAACACTTTGCAGCAGGTGATCTGCAGTGTTTGAAAGAGCGTTAAAAGATGAACCAGTCTATAGGTTATTTCTAATTTCAAGTCTACGGTCAGGTACCCAAAGATCATCAAAGATCACATTTTTCCCATTCTGAAACCATTCGACAAATTGGTTCATGCCTATTGCCTATTGCCTAGCTCACGAAATATTAGGGCTAGGACGTCGCAGAAAAATTTTTGAAAACCCATTTAAAGGTCTTTCGCTAAGGTGCCCTCTGATCTGACCTAAGGCCATCAGCTTGGCCTCCGAAGGGCAAAAACCGTCAAAGTTGTTCTGTGTTTTTATTCATTTTCAGGCAAAGCTTTTAATATATCGAAGCACAGCACATCTCGGATGTATTCATCGCTCTTAGGTGCCTATCAAAGATCATTGTCGAAAACTGCTTGATACATTCAACGATTGAAATAACCTAATGGGTGGTCAGTGGTCCCTGACGTAATTTCCCAATTCAGTATTCAATTATTACCTACCTAATGAATGATATTTCAAGGTTCTGTGCTTACAACTCACTCAAACTTTGCAAGCACCCGCCATGTTCCGAACAATTTAGATTTAACGATTACACGATGGCTTATGACATGCAACTACCATTTTTTATCCAAGCAAATAAAACTCAAGTACCCACATGACGCTTTTGAAGCCTTTATTGATAGTCGCAACCAGTGTCCACGTTCCCGATAACTTCATAAATATGCCATAACAACTCGCAACATCAGCGTAACAACACCGTAACAACAAAGGCAGCACTAAGCAGATGCATGTGCGTGTTGAGTATATAAAACAATCAACACCAATAACTTAGGGTTGGTGCAATAAAATACTGCGCAATTCCTCACTCGCATTTCAACGCCGTAGCAGGCTACATTCACGCCCGTACGACTCGCATAACATCCCAAAACGAGCTTAAAGGTAAATCGACCTCAAATCGCCGAAAAAACGTCACTCGAGATTGCCCCCAGTGCTCTTTTTCGGAGTCACCAGTCACTGACTCACGCAAGAGCAAATTGCTGATGATTAAAAATTAGCATGAGCTTTCGGTAGACGGTACGATGTATCAATTATCTGATGTGTCCCTCCGTCATCCTTATAAACTGCGTATGTATCATTAATCTTACTCCATAGTTCTAGATCACTGACAATACTTAGTTCGCTTGCCTTAGCGGTGGGTTTCCTCATTTCATAGCATCACCATTATTGGGTCGTAACAGGTTGGTGATACTGGAGTATCGTTATAGCATTTCTCGTGCCGACCAGCGCTCACAGGTCCACTCCGAACTCATCCCTCAGCCACGGGTAGTGGATGGGACACTCGAAGCACGTGTACAGGTAACGGTCCGTCCGGAGCACGCGGCTCCGAACGTGGCACGTGTTGGGAATGTTACACGCCTTGTCCTCCAGCGGAATCTGAAAAAAAAGATAAATTCACCATTAAATTGGGAAGATTTAAGGAAAATGTTCTCTGTTACAAACGATGCACATAATATAAGCGTGCTATGACGAAAAACAGGTAAATGCTCAAAATTCATACGCATGTCGAAAAAGGATATGAATATAAATTAATGCTTTCAAGTGAAGCACGAGTGGGTCAAATAAAAACGAAATGCATCCAACAGTTACAGCAAAAAAAAAAGATATCGCTTTCCATATTCAGTATGTGCTCACACAAATAGCCATTACCCAATTTCTGAAACGCGAAAACCATGCAAGCCGAGAGTCACAGCTCAATTTTGCTGTGACTGACTCTCCTCTGGTACAAACAATGGAATATCTGACCTGTTTGCCGCACTTCCACTCCTCCATCTGGTTGATCTGTCCCAGCGGTTTGGGGTTCTTCATCCACTGGATCACCTCACGGTTGTTGAGCACCCAGACATCCTGCATCTGACCGATGGCGTCCAGGAAACGCTGTATGCGGGACGGGAGCGTCAGAATTCAGAACTCAACAGTTGGGTCGCAGCCAGCCAACAGCACAACCGATCGGCAAAGGGCGTGGACACTGAACACCGGACAGTTGTCAAAACTGCACACATTTCACGAACAGTGCTGGACAAACTTTCACCAAAGCGTGCATGCAGGAGCTGTTGTCAAGCATCGCAATGGCCAGTGCCGAATAACGATGCAACGCAGCATTCCGGTTTAATTGAGACATAAATTTAAGACTAATCGCCCTTTATAGGTTTAAACGACGTCGTTAAAAATCAATTAGTGTCATGATGGCAGCATTTACGTCAACTTGATGTAAGGCAGTGTATTCTGCCGTACTTTTCATGAAAAACAAGAGGACAAACCACCGTTCGAGTGATACTCACGGAGAAGGCCTTGAGGTTGGACTTTTTCTGGAACCATCCGGTGTGGAAGTAGAGTCCGAACGGTGCCCGGTTCGTCGTGTAGTGGCGCTTGAAGTTGCTCATGAACACCTGGAACTGTTCCTCCTCGTCCTCCACTTGCGGACAGTTGTCTACCATCGCACACGTGTATTCCTGAAAATCGTGGCCAGTGGTTCTGAGGTAATGTTCTCAGCTAGCCTCACTTAGTCGGAAGTCAGTTTCTCGGTCTCGATAAGACTGTCCTAAATTTGAGATAAATTGCCTTATTAGGTAGAGAGTACGATAGCATGTTAAGTAAAACACAAGCTTGAGAAAAGTGCTAACTACCAAATAAAATAATAGTACCATTATGAGAAGCTAACATAATCTTTAACATTTTGATTCGTATGAAACTAAGCAGTTGCACCTAATTGATACATAACCGAAGGTTTGTTGTCAATAGTTAAAACACTATTCTTTAGAATTGTGTTTTTCTATTGAAAAACAAATCTGAGTTCCCTGACAATTTGGCAAAATATACGATCCCTTAGTTGTACCTTAACTGTCGGATCAATCTTGAATCTACTCACGTGCACTTTGAGCTGGTTCATCACCATCTCCCAGATGCCTGGGAAGGACCGCGACGGGCACTTGACTCCCTCTCCGACACACTTGTGCGGGATCCGGTAGTCGAGGGTGTACGGCCAGAAGGGGATATCGGAGTACGGAGCCGTCACAGACGAGTCGTACACGAAGCCGAACTCCTGCATCATCACAAACTGGCGGTTCCAGCCGACACGCAGGAACGGCACGCGCATACCTGAGGGGGAGAGGGGATGAAGAGTGTCACAAAATGACGGCTTTGGGGCGAGGTGCTTGGGATGCTGGTTACTTACTGCTTGTTGCATGGGACTGCATGCATGGGACATAAAAGACTTCGTTCGGCAAATTGGCAAGCACTCCTTTGAAACAACGTTTTATCACAGACTGATTAAAACAATAAGGCTAGTCGCTTAGGAAGACAACTCTGGTCGTTTAAGAAGTTTAGGAAAATGACTTCGGGAAAAGACGGACTGACCCCACATGTCCTCCATGGAGATTCCGGCGTAGCGGTTGATGATGTTGGCCTGGCCGACCATCTCATCGAACCAGTCCTCGATGGTGGCGTTGTTGGTCCACCAGTCCTCCGGCTTACGGTGACTGTGAAAATAATACAGGATCGGTAATCATGCCAATCACGAGACCCATCGGATTACCTTTGATTTAGTAGGACCTTATCGCTGTTTATGCCATTCAAGGAAATTATGTCTAACATTCGCGAAGAGTTACAATTCATTTAATTCATTCATTCGCTTATTCATTCACGCCTTCATTCATTCATTCATTCATTCATTCATTCATTCATTCATTCATTCATTCATTCATGCATGCATGCATGCATACATGCATGCATTCAATCATACGTTCTTTCATTGAGTTATCCATGCGTCGCAGGGTGAACGAAATCTGCCAAGGGCTTGACATCCAACACCCTCTTTGACACGGACTGACTGTCAGAGCTGCTGCTTTGTTGCGATCCAGAGTCCCAGACTCACGTGATGCTGTGCACGGCGATCTCGTGTCCGAGGTTCCACAGCTCCTGCACGTCCCGGTAGTTGGTGAACTCGTGGGAGACGAAGTAGGTGGCGTGGTATGGGCAGCCGTTCGGGTTCTTACGCTTCTCCTTATCAAACAGCTTCCTGTAGATGTCGATGTTCTGAGAGTTGACGGCGTCGTCGAAAGTGACGACGACCATTTGCGGGACCTGAAACGATAGGCGTGAGTGACTTATTGCCTCACTTAAGTGCGTTACGCGAGTCTGAAAGCGTAGGGAATCATGAGTGCCTATTTAGCTTTCTGATATTATTACAGAAATACAAAGTGATAAAAAAGATAAATGCGATAACGTACTTTAAAGTTCCATCAGCTTCCCGCTACTTCAACCAGCATTAACATATAACGTGGCCACGTTTTCTACTTCCCGAGTTTCACTTAACCTATACCGTGGTATTATACCTCTTTGCATTAAACTTGACCTCCATTTGGCTTGTTAGTTGTTTGCATGTGCATTGTTTGTAAATTAGCCCAACCATAACCGCGTCGGTTCCATATAACGACCCGCTGGCAGATCCCGGTTTCCAATGGCTTAGTTCCGCTCAAATAACTAGACTCTAAAAACAGCTGCCTACGCACCAATGCTTGTTCCAAACGACATTCTAATAACCTGACCCGATTCTAAGCGACACCCCACTGACCTAGCTCGACTCAAGAGTTAAGTGACACTCAAGTGACGCTCTACTGATCTGAGCGAGCTCCAAATGACGCTCCACTGACCTGGCTGGGCTCCAGGTTTCCGGGGATCAGGGTGCCGTCGGTAGAGCACCAGCAGCTGGGCAGAGTGCAGTTCTGGTACTTACACTTGGGAGCGGCGTTCGGGTCGTGCTCCGGGTCACACCAGCCTGCGGGGACGAGGTCACATGGTTCAGTGGTTCATGGTTCAGGAGAGTTCAGTTGGAACAATAGACCACAAATCGACTAAGCGGTGTATATTAATCAGACCACAGTCAGTCACACAAGACATTTACAAGTATCAGTACAAGGAGAACATAAAAACAGTCTCCAAATGCATGCATGTTAAATTTTTCAAATGTAAAACAACACACTGGAGTTCGTTCGAAAAGCTATTGTGCCACGATCATTCGAGTGCAGAGAAGTAAATATGTGGTGATTCGGTGATCGCTATTGAACTTTGAGGAGCATACCTTCATCGCTATTGTCCGGACAGTCATTTTGCCCATCGCAGAAGAGCTCGGCAGGAATACAGTCGCCCGTGCCGCAGGCGTGGTGGTTTTGAGGACAGATGGGCTCGATCGTGTTCAAAATCGGCTTCGGAGTGGTCATCTCTGTGGAAACAATGAGCGACATGTTAATGTCGGTTTTCGTTACAGAAGCACGAGTGTGTCATAGGTGTTATGCATGTAGTAATTGCAATATCGCAATGTGTCTGTGTGGTGCTACATTTGATATCTAACCGCGATTATAGAGAAAATTGTAAGTCTGGTGAATAAAACTGAAGAGAGAAAGAGAAGAGATCGAGAGGGAAGGAGGGAGAGGAAGAAAGAGAGATCAAGAGCCCTAAGGAGAGAGTCACGACCACCTCTCATGGCTGTGATAAATGCTTTATTAGCATCGCGTGGTAATCTTCACCGCTATCAAAGAGAAACGGTGCGAGACCACAGCCTCTCTAACCACTGAGACTCTCCGAAGTTAGCCACAGACGAAACCCACCCGAACCCGTAACCCTACCGGTACTTACGGACATTTGCTCCGCAGTTGCGCACTTTGGCCTTGAAGTCACAGATCTGACGGTCTATGTCGAACATTAGATCTCGGGAACATTTAAACTCGTACACTTCTTCATCTGAAAAAGGAAGAAGAAAGGACGGGTAGTCGGGTATGAATAAACACAACTTTAAGCCACAAATCAGCAACACCATCCTGACTGGTGGGATACTTTTCATGCCTTCAGCCATACAGTGCTCTCATCCCTGACCCGGCCCATATCGCACCAACTACCGCTATAGCATGCTTTGAGTGACTACCCCAGCCCTCTGTCGTATATATCCACTGAAACCCAAGCCCAGGACGGCAGCAGAATTGTAATTGCTCACCGATGCAGAGGTAGAACCTCGAGATGCTGCCCGAAACCATCCGGGCACCCGCTCCATTACAACTGAAGTGTCATAACACCTAAGTTAGTTATAAACACTCACCGATGCAGAGATAGTACTGGGCGCAGCTGTCGCTGGTGTGCATTAGCTCAGGGTCCCGGTTCGGGTCTCGGTAGAACTTGCCATTGCTGACGCACGGCACCTGGTAGCGCGAGCTGTCGCGGTCCTTCTGCCAGGGGAACCGCAGCTTCCCCGGCCATTGCTTACCGTTGACGGCACCTGGCGCACGGCGAAGGGAAATGACTGGGAGCAAATGATATGCTACAGAAGGCAAAGAATGACTAACTACTGGCGGTATGTGCCAAGCTGACCAATACCGTAAGGTGAACGAAATCCTTCTCCGATAGATCATGGCGGTTACCGGTTTCACTTCAGATCAATGCACAAATATAAATGCACTTTTGGCAAATCGCAACATGAAGTTGTTCTGACTGCACTCGCCCTGTAAGGAGGGGGAGAGACACTTCTTCACTTCTCGCTAATTCGAATGAGATTATTGCTAACATCGGCGGCAGACCACAGTCCAGCCGTAGGTAATTTGATCTTACCTGCGCAGAGGAGCGTCACCAGCCATATCGGGTGCCACATGTTGACTATCTGTCGTCTATCAGACGCCGCCAATCGAGCGACCGTCGAGCTCGAGCATCACACCAACACTGAGCTGACAAAGTGTGTCAGAGCAGTCTACGGAGCAGGGAAACCGAGCCACACGGCGACGGAGGCTGCGGCGACGGAGGCGCACATCGGGGCCAGCCGGGTCGGCCGCCCTGGGCGGAGAGAGGTAGAGAGAGGAGACACCCCGCGCGCCCCTCCTCTGCCCGGAGCAGGCACACGTCGAGAGGGTTCCTGGCACCGGCTGGGAAGTGTCACACTCACAGACATTCGCCGGAAGAAGAGGTCGGAACACCGCCTCGGAGGGTGTGGTCGGCTGAAGGAGTCGGGGACTATCGTGGAGTGTGGCAGGATAGATGTCACGAATTATGCTTCCTAAATGCGTTACGACATCGCTCTGCGTCTGACACGTGCCGAGCGGTATAACTTTGCTCAGTCATCTCCAACAAAGGACGATGACCAATTCGCAGTCATCCCCACAGCGATGTTCCATATTCTTTGTTCCGATCCCCGCGGCTGGTCTGATTATTCGGGTTTCGATCGATCTCCTTCACCCCATTATTGGCGGCTGTGTCGGCGACTCGTGTGGCCAGCGGGCCGGAACGGGGCCGTCTCTGCCCTCGTCCCGCCCGTCGAGATGTCTCCAGTCACGACACGCTCCGCTGCGCCGCCGGGACGGCTCGGGACGCGCCGGCGCACTGCACGCGACACCGGCCGACAGGAAACCGGCGAGAAAGTAGAAACTGCTCCGGCGCGGCCCGCCGACCTGAGACTGCAGTTAGGGGAACGACACCGGCGGGAGGCGGTCACGACCGGAGTCATCTGCCGCGCCAGGGGCGAGTTCATTGCTCTCAGCAGTGACCGGTCATCGCTCGACAGTGATTACAGTCACGTCCAGTGACCCGTCACCGCGTGACAGCGACTACGGTCGTTCCAGAGCACGCAACCATATCGCCGTAGCTATGAAAAAAAAATCAGAAACCAACACGGCACATAAAACTGCCACGGCTTGGGGATTGCAACAGCATACACTGTCATAACACCGCGGGCTGCAATGGAGACTCAAGTCGCAACTGCTTCGCAACATAACAGCAACGAGCGGTGGAGAATTCAACAGCAAACAACACACTAACACCGAGCGGTAGTCTTTGACAGCGTACAGCGCAGAAACGCCGAACAGTGGAGACTGCAATAGCAAACAGCACAGTAGCACCCAGCGGTGGAGACTTCAACAACAGATTGTACAGTAGTTCACAGCGGAGAAGACTTCAACAACGAACATCACCGTAGCACCAAGCTATAGAAATGTAAACACCAAACAACATGCAGAAGCACTGAGCGGCGGAGACTGCAACAGCGAACAGCACAGTAGCACCGAGAGGTGGAGACTTCAATAGCAAACAGCACTTAAACCGCGAAGACTTCAACAGCTAACAACATAGTAGCACCAAGCGATGGAGACTTCAACAGGAAACAGCATAGTAGCACCGTAAACACCAACAGTAGAAAACACGGTAACACCGCATGCTAGACTTCTATAGCAAACATCACAATACCTCGTGGAGACTTCAACGGCAAACATCACAATAACACCGAGAGACGGAGACTTCAACAGCAAACAGAACAGAAACACCGTAACACTGAGCGGTGGAGACTTCAAACAACAAACAACACAGTATGATTACGCGGTGGAGACTTCGACAGCAGACAACAATGAACACAGGAACACCGTAAATAACTCAACAGCAAACAGTAGGTACAGTAACACCGAGCAGTGGACAACAGCAAACAGCACATCAACACGTGGAGACTTTAACTCCAGACAGCAAAACAACACCGAGCGGTGGGGACCTCAACAGCAAGCAGTACATAAAGTTACACTTGGAGAATTCAACAGAAAACAGTACAGTAGCATCGAGCGGCGGAGATTTCAACAGTAAACAGGACAGTAATGCCGGGCAGTGGAGACTTCAACAGCACGCAACAAAATACCATACGGATCCCACAGGAAGACATCAACAGCAGACAGCACAGTAGCACGTGGAGACTTCAACAGCAAACAGCACAGTAGCAACGAGCGGTGGAGACTTTCACGACAAACAGGACAGCAACACATGGAGACTTCAACAGCGAAAAAAGCAGTAATACAGAAGCACCAAGCGGCGGAGACTTCAACAGCAAGCAGCATAGCAGCACCGAACAGTGGATACTTCAACAGCGAACAGCACAGCAGCGCCGCAGACTTCAAAAGCTAACAACAAGTAACAAAACAATGAGCAATGGAGACTTCGACAACAAACAGCACAGAAACACCGTGGTGGAAAACTCAACAGCAAACAGAAAAGTAGCACGAGCGGTTGAGACTTCAGTAACATGAAATTAAGACCACGCGAGACTGACAGAAAATTACAACCACAGAACGGGGCGGGAACTACAAAAGCACACTTTTAGTAGCAGCACGGGTGGGGACTTCAATAGAAGATACTACAGTAGCACAATAAGGAGACTTCAATGTAACACACCACGGTAGCACAAAAATGTGGCCTTAAATATAAAACAAAGAGTAACATTGCGGAAAAAATGTTAAATACGTGCTGGATGTAATAGGGTTGGGCCCAGTGTGTATTGGGGACAGTTGACGGAATTGGTTACTATAAACATATCGACTGAGCTTATGTTCTTCGTAGAAACATTGCAAGGATTTTATCTTCGCACAACTCTATGTAGCGTTATTGTGTGTGTAACTGGGTAGACTATATTACACTGAAGCAGTCAGGTGAGGTGTCCGAGAATGCTCGATGATTAATCTTAATTAGAGAAATCGTTAAATTACACCGTTCACCCTATATTCTGGCATTTGATCTTTTCCAGGAACCAAACGCATGTCACGATATCACATTCACGTATATTCCCTGTATTACATTGACAGCCCCATATAACATCAACACTGTTCCCACATAACATCGAGCCATTGTCTGCCGTTTGGCAGATATCCAGCCGCGTCCAACGACTATCAGCAGGGGGTCTCTTGACCTCGGAGGTCGGGCAGCTCAGTTCAACAGTCACTTGACAACACCAGCGCAGCACGGGCAACACGGCGGTACAGTCTATTCGAGCACTGTGAGCGGAAACGACCAGCAGGGGGAGGGAAGGTTGAGAAGAAAGATGAGGAAGGGATGGGAGATGGGAAGAGGGACAGTGAAAGGACGGAGAGGAAGGCGAGATAGGAAAGGAAGGGAAGAAAGGAGAGGAAAGAGAGATGGAGAGAAAGAGAGAGGCAAAGGACGAGAGAGGGAGGAGAGAAAGAGAGAGGGAGAGGATTAAGGATGGGAGAAGGGAGGAGAGAAGAGGAATGGAGGGGAAGGCAAAGAGGAAAGGATTGGGAGGAGAGGGAGACTACAAATGGTAGCAGATTGAGGACGGAATGACAGATTTACCAGAAAGCAGCTACAATCAGGGATAAGAATCAGTTGCAGTGCCAGGGCCGTCGCGGCGTGGCCGCCTCAGAACATGAGCTAGTCCGTGGCCGTTTCACAGCGAGGAGTCATTGCACTGGAAGCTCTCGGTCGGAGAGCGGTGGGGAGGGATGCCACTGAGCAAGGGAGACTGACGGGCCAGGTCAGGTCAGGTCACGACGGCACAGGTAGGGGGGACGTACTAGGTAGGTCAGCTCAGCTCAGCACTCAGCTCAGCTCAGCTCAGATCACAGAGATACACGACAGGACAGCCAGTTTGGAGGGGACACGACAGTAACACCAGCTGAGCAGATACCGACAGAAGGGCGCACACCGGACACATTGGCGAACGGTACCAAAGCTGTGCGCTCTACGACACGACACGACGGCAGGCTGGGCTCCAGCTCCCAGTTTCTACAAGAGGTCCAGGGGTCTCGGTTGACATTTGTCACAGTTCGTGTCCCACGCTGCCGGAATATAACGACCACTAGCAAGGACAGGACAGGAGCCGGTGCAGAGCGAGACGCACAGTCAGTGGCAGGCTGTCTTATTGCTACCCGCCGCCCAGGCCAGCCAACGTCCTCAAATCAGCTGCGCACAGTGGTTTACGGACAGCGCGCACAGCGGCTCACGGAACATGGCGCACACTGCCATCGAACACCACACGACAGCGCGATCGCGTCCGCCGTCCAGCGGCTCTTCCCCACATATATGCATACCAAAATATTAGCACTATCCCATATAATAAAAATACTCAGGATATGATACTGGAATGGATACATATGCCCGGTCGGGGGTGGCACCATACAGGTAATAATAATAACACATCTCGGTGGTTAAATATATATCAGGTACGACACACATACAGGATATTTTCAATACTGTAAATAGGATAGGGTAAACGAGGCTTCTCTATTCCCGCTCGGCCCAGCCGCCCTCCGAAGGGGCGCCAGAGCAGCTCCCGCTCCGCCCGACTAGCTAGCAGCTACGATTCGCAGCAACACCACACACGATACACATGCCCCCGTCTATAACACAGCGAGCTGACTTAGCATAATATGCCCGTATTTGGCAGAGCCACGCCACCCCGACACGGGGTACTAGCCCATCCCGACTTCCGACCGCCAGAGAGACGCTGTCGTCCTCTGAGGGAGGGCCTCTCCGGTCCTATAACCGGGAGCCTGGTGCTACACTATGTTCTGTCTATTCCAATCAGCAGTGACCTCCCATCGGCACCGAGACAATATCGACTACAGTGTTGCTGTGGCAGGCGTGTGCGTATGGAGACGGTAACCCCGTGGACTGGGATCTGGGGTGATATTGTGCGTGCTGGGGAGCGGAGAAGGAAACCTTGACTGGGTGAGGGCAGTCAACGGCAACGCAGTTTTCACAGCGTTCGCCGTCCGCTGGACAGACAGGGACAGGTCTCTGAGACTATTGCACCGCCGTCCGACATGTCCGACAGACCGAGGCGTGGCGGGCCGCCGCGGTGACTGTCTGCTGACAGTCAGCCGGCCATGAGAGAGCCTGGCCGTACACGATGACTGGTAAATGGGAATGTTGTGGTGGAAACAAGTGAAAACAAACGACTCTTCTAAAGTATGTGGCTGCCCAACGGCCTACAATCTATCAAACGATGAACTAAGACTGATAAATATCACACCAACTTTGATTTTAAAAGAATGCCGACTTCTCAAAACACATCGCATCTCTCCTCTTGAACGAAGGAACTTCTTGCCTTTTCATACAACACTTAAAAACTATCTCGAAATCCAGCACGAAAGGTAAACTGTCTTCACCTATCTGTTCATAATAAATTATTCTAGGCTTGTTGAGATTATTGCCACAGCTGACAATTACAGAAAAAAAAATCCTCCTCACACAGGACATCACATGGGGCGCCAGTACCCGCACCTCTCGACGACTAAACATCTTATGACGATTCTTCCCAGTTTTAAAATCGCCCAAGGCCATGACCCAGTGCCTTCCAATCTCATTCCGCGACCCCTGACTCCAGTTCAGTGCCCCCTGACCTCAGCCAGTCGAGCCCAGGTCGGGTACCAGCTCCAGGAGCAGGAGGTCCAGCAGCTGGAAGGCCAGGTCGCGATTGATAGTGGCGGACTGGAGCGAGTCCAGCAGGCTGGAGACCACCAGGGTGACCGTGTCGCGACCCAGCGCCAGACACGCTGGACCTGCGGCAGCACATCAACAACGGTCAGCGACTTAAGGAGCCGTGCCTGATATGGTAAACCGGTAAACCAACATCTTATTGTAGCATGCTATAGCTGCCTCGCGATTACACAATCGCAGAG